TAGACTAAAGATTTCTTTGTTTTGATACATTATAATGGCTGATCCATTAATATTGCTAATCATAAGTTACTTTGAGATTTTGATGCGTTATATTCAATTATTCATTGCTTTATAGCCCATGCGTTGGTCAAGTGCAAAATATGTTGAGCCCTATGGTGAGACTCCATTCTCACTAAAAAGGATAAAGGCCCAAATTCCCACTAACATATCACTTTTAAAAACTTACCCAAAAAAAATAATGTCAAATATGTTGATAACTTCACATTGCTTTGCAGAGGTTCAAACAACTTCATGAATGAATTGATATGGAATGGTTGTCCAATCCAATGGCAATCTTAATGTGGATGAATCTTTAGTGCCATACGATTCTTGAATTTGTGGAAATGATAATCACATTTCGAATTTGTAGAAATGATAATCACATTTCGCTTCTTTTTCATTAAAAAGTGGTGACATATCTATAAACACTCGATAAATCTTGAAATTAGGAAGTCTATATAACTTGTTACAAGATGTACTATTTTTAAGAATTGAAATTACTTTTTTCTTTATATCCATAAATCTCAAGGTCAAGATGATCAATTGGAATGTTTTCCAACTTGAACACTCTTTTCTATTGAACTTTTATGTGTACCTTTTTTCTTTTCTTTTTTTGGGTAATTCAGTGGGGAAGACAGGCCCCACCCGTTTTTTTAAGTAGATTAGGAGTTAGTTTTTTTTTAAAGTGTTGGTGGGGTGGTGTTAATGGTGGGAATAGAAACCACAACGTGGTGACTAGGGTGTAGGGTGTTATATAAACTTTTTGTTTATATATTTTTTGGGTTTTAAAAATTGAAAAATAAAAATTACATAAAATTAACTTTTGATAAAAGAAATAGAAAACACCATTGCTCTAAAAATTTTGCATTACGAAACAAAGATAATGAGGGTCTAAAAGTGTTGAGTACATTAAAAATACTCTATTCTGTATAGGAATACCCCCAACAAAACCTATAAAAGAAATAATGAACTTGTAAAAAAATTGTGCTAAATAGAATTGGCCCAGTGAAGTACACATTGGTTCCCGTCACCACAATATGCTAATGAAGCACCAAAGCGATTTTATTCCCAGATGTAAGAAAAATTATATAAAACCCACAAAAATGGACTTTCTAATCAATTTACCTCCAACCTAAGTTTTTCTAGCAACTTCCCCCCAAAATCCATGTTTTCTAGCAAATACCTCCAATACAAAAAGATCATTTTTTGATGAAAATACTCTTCTCGTACTTAACAAATCAATTTTCGGATCCCAATAGAAGGAAACGCTGGACCGCACTTGTACAACACCAGACTACTCACTTCAAAACACCGGACTGCCCCTTCAAAATGGCGTACCACCACTTCAAAACGTCGTTCTACCCCTTCAAAATGCCGGACCGCTATTTCAAAATGCCCCGGAGTGACCATTTCTCTAATAGCATAATCCCCATACCGCCACAATAAAAAGGCCGACCACCTCGTCCAAACGCCGGACCCCCCTCTCAAACGAAAATGATTGGTTAGGTAATAGAAGGGTATTTTCGTCAAAAAAAAATGAACTTTTAGTATTTGGGTTAAAAGCTCCTGATATCTATTAGGTTTGAAGATTGAATTGTGAAGTTCACTTGGAACACTTTTTTATGTGCACCTCGACTATACTCCCTCATAACCAAATAATTATTAAAAAATTATTATTCTTGTAATTCCCTGCAAAAACTAAATATTTTGAGTTATTGAACATCTAAATCATTCCCTGCAAAAACTAGATAAGTTTTGTACAATCATAACCAAATAATTATTAAAAAATAAAAATAAATATTTTGAGTTATTGAACATCTAGATCATTCCCTACAAAAACTAGATAATTCTGGTACAATATCCAGATACCATTATTTTTGAAATAAACAAAGCAAGAGTTTTAACGTTTTTTCCTTCGAGAAGGGTGGCGGAATTTTTAGATGTCATATCCCCAAATTTGAGACCTAAAAGATATGGACACCGTTTCAGTGTGGCCAACCGCATATTATAGAAATACGGGCTTGACAATAAGTATATTTTTTAAATATAATTTGATCTTAATTTTTAGAGTATATATAATCTTTAAAATGGAGATCATGAATATAAAAAAATAAATAAATTCTGAAAACTAGAAATAATAATTATATTAAAGAAATATTTAAAATGTTAGTTACAATCGTTTTTAGATGAACCACCTATTTGAAGATGGATGTTTTATACCTTTGGACCGTACATTGTAGAAATGCGGTCCAGTCTACATAAAACAATTTTCCACAAGGTATTCCTAATGTAGGTTTGGCTCAAAGGAGCATATGGATAGTGTATACTCCCGCATGAATAAGAGCCCTTTAAGCTTTTTTTTTTTTTTTTCTTTTATTAAGAAAAATTATAGATACCCTGAATTTGTATTGTACTTTTTAGGTATGTTACCCTCTTTAGAAACACTTTTGAATACCATACTATTAGCCTCAATAGTTTATTTTATTTATTTATTTATTTATTTTTTTTTCAACCACCTTTCAAATGTAAAAAGTTAATTTTTTTTAAGATCAAAATACCATTTTTTTTGTTTTTTACACTTCCCACTTTACCTCTTTAAGTTGGATGTGCACAACTTGAATATAACGCCAATCCAACACACTATTTTATGTTGGACGGGCTTAATATTCAACTTGTGTAGAGTTCATTTTTTGTGCCAAACCAGCTCCATATTTAACTTGCATTTATACAACACATTTTTCTATGTCAGACCCGCACAAGCTGGGCGCCATGTTTTGAAAACATAAGTATTTTAGTTTTAAAAAAAAGCTTAATTTTTACTCAAAGCTGGTCTATCAAGAATATTGTTAGAGCTAATGGTGTGAAATAAAAAATACTCGCAAAAATTATCCTATGAAAATACAAACTGAATGTATCAATAATTTTCCATTTCATTATTTCTCCATAGTACACGCCTAGTACACGCCCCGCCGAAAGGGGCAAATTTTTTCCTTTAGATAGCTCAAGTGGGGGATAATGAGCCTCTGCCCATTGTTAGGGAAAAGTTTATATAGAGCCGAGGCTCTAAAAAATCATATTTGAGCCTACTTCAAAAATTTTACTAGAAGAAGTTATTTGATGTTCAAATATCTTCAAATCGATCATCTCAACATTATAATGCATGGACATAAAAAAAAAAAAATTTTCATGTTTTGAAAATAGTATATTTTGTAATACATCTTTAGTTCGTCGATTTTCAAGATTTTTAAGTTTTTATAGATCTATCTATCTATATTATTTTTTAAGCTTTAAAATTTATAAATGAATATAAAAATATATTTTAAAGCTATCACAAAGATTTCTAATATGTCGGTAGGTTCTAATTTGATTGATTAGAGCCTAGGCTATGTACAAACCACATTCTTTTTTAAATTGTTAATAGTTTTTTAATTAAATTGTTAATAGTTTTTTTAATGCAGAATAGAAATCTAGAACTCCAACCCCATTTTTGAAAGAGGTAAGTATTTCGCACAAAAGGCGGTTTCCTTGTGCACTGCTCAGCGGTGAGTCGTCATACATATCTTAATTGAGTTAATAAAAACGAAGGACGCGTGTCCATAACAGTTGCCAGATGTCAACTTCTCACGTTGATCTAGTCAATGGCCGGTGTTTATCTTCTACCCTGGTCTTTCCTAAAAATATCAGTGTTACCCTTTTCTTGGCGAGTACGAGGAGTATGATCGGGTTTTGAGCTTGGAATTAATAAGATAAGGTTTGTAGAGGGCGTAGGTTTCATGAAAACAAAATAAAGCTTCACTTCAAATTCACATTTTTTTTTCCATATTTATATATATAAATCTTTAAATGATCAATCCGATAGTTTTTCAACATTGAAACAACCTTTTATCTTTTTTTTATGGATTTTTGTGATACATCTTTAAAAGTGCGCTTGAGCTCGTAAGAGTTTTATTTTTAATCTTTTTTAGATATTTGTTTCCAGATTGAAACATTTTGTATCATTTTGGGATATTTGTTTCTGGGAAGAAACACGGAAGGCACACGTAACGGGGCTTGTCACCGAAATTTCGTTTCAAGAAAGGCCTCCGGAAACCGCCTCAATTTGGTAGATAATTTATTGTATTGACGTCTTGCCCAAGCCTTTTGCCGCACTAAAACAAGACAAAAGATTTTGTACTATCGAGAGTCTATTATTTATTTAATCTCTCGAAAAAAAATGTATGCTAGATGTGTTTATTAAATATCAAAATTTTAAAATATAATCTTTAGAATAATTTCTACAAATTTTTTTTTCCAAGTAAATTCTTTCGTATAATAGAAAAGAGTGCTATTTGTATAGAGCTGAGGTTCTAAACAATCAAATTAGAATTCACCTTTAAATAATATCGAGCAAAATAATTTCAATATTGAAATCTTTGTGATAACTTTAAATTATATTGTTAAATTAAATTATAAAATTTTAAACTATAAAAATAGTGTAGATTGAGTATATTATGAAAACTTCAAAAACTTAAAATTTGACGGTCCAAAAATGAGTTACAAGATATAATATTTCCAAAACTTGAAATCCATTTGTTTCTCATGTCCATGCATCTTGATTTCGAGATGATCAATTTGAAGATATTTGACCATCAAAACAATCTCTTCTAGTGAAATTTTTGAACTGAGTTTCAATTTGATTGTTTAAAGCCTCGTCTCTATGTATATAAACTTTTCTCATTAAAAAAACCTAACACTCAATAAAAACTATCACAAAGCGTTAAATCTAACGGTTACATAACTCAAAATTCATTTCTTTTAAAAATAATTTAGTAATTTTTATATGGTTTCAAAATTTTAAAACAAAAAAAATTATTAAATAGATATTTTTGAGCGTGGGAGTTGAACATTTCGTGCTCCCACGAGAGCATATTTTATAAGCTCATGAATAAATATAAAACCGACCGTCTCATCGAAAATCTATAAAATACCACTTCCGCGCCCTGTTTCCTCTTCATTCGAACCCTAGTTTTCGTGTAAAGAGTGGAAGCTGGCTCCGTCTCTAAACCCTAGATCTCCTTTAGAAGAGATATCTCCAAACCTTAGTTTGCCCATTAATGGCGACCGCGATCTTGCGCTCTCACGACTGTCTAAAGAATCGCCTTCCCGCTTCCATGGGTTTGTACGCTCAGTCGCAGCCGGATTCCGGCCAAGTCCCGGGAAATCGATCAATTGGTTTCCGGAAAAGGAGTTCTCAGTCGGGATTTCGCCAGAACCATGGGCGAACGACCAGAAGACCTGCCAAGGACCTCCCTGCTGGCCCTGTGACGATCTTGAAAAGGGGCCAAGAATACAAGCCCGGAGCCATGGTTAACACAAGTGGTGCTGTGGGTTCAGATGTAGCAGAGGTTAGGGTTTCAAAGGGGAGCCAGTATGTTTTGGAGAAGAGGGCATTGAAGGAGGGTGAAACTGTTCGGAAAGTATCCAGTGTTAATGGAGGTTTTGCACCTGTTTCAGAAGTTAACCTATCGAAGAAAGGTAGAGAAGCTGCAGAAAGAGGGTTTCCTATTTCAGAAGTTAATATTTCAAAGAAAGGTAGGGAACCTGCAGAAAGAGGGTTTTCCAAGATGGATGTGGTGAGTGATGAGAGGTTGGGGCCTGATCCAGCCCTTGTGCCAAAACAACTAGGGTTTTCAGGGTCTACTATTGTTGAGAAGTTTGCTGGGCCTGTGTGCTTTTCTTCTCCATCTCCGAGCTCTCTTCCGATGCCTGGTTTTTCAAGGAAGGAGCAGATGCCGACAGACTGTGCAACAAAAGACTTGCGTCGTCTTCTGGGCATCAATCTCTAAGTAATATTCTTCTAGGGTTTATTACTGGTTCTTACTAGGTTTCTTCAATTCTTTTTCTCTCGGTGGCTCCTCTTTTGGGTCTTTTTCTCTATTTTTTCAAAAGGAAAAGACAGAAAGGAGGGGATTGTGGTGAAACTTGGTTGGGGGACTCTTTAAGCGATGGTAAGATGCCCAATGAAATAAAGAAGAAGACAATATGGTGTTGATTAGTAAATTGGGTAAATAGTTGGGTATAGTCTCTTGTTTTTAGGGTCTTGTGTTCTGTGTACAGGGGGATAGGAATTTGGTAAATGGTATAGGTTTGGGGAGTTTACAAGTTGATGTTGATGGTGTTGATTAGTGAATTGGGTAAATAGTTGGGTATAGTCTCTTGTTTTTAGGTTCTCGTGTTCTGTGTGTAGGGGGACAGGAATTTGGTAAATGGTATAGGTTTGGGGAGTTTACAAGTTGATGTTGATGTAAGTCGGTTGATGACCTTTAATGAAAGTTTAGTGTTTGTAAATAGTATAGGTTTCTAGGGTTTACAGTTTGATGCTGATGATGTAAGCTGGTGTTGATGTAAGATGGATATGATCGTCCACTTTGGTAAATAAAGTTTATTGTTTCTTCTTGGTAATTATTTTTCTTTTTGTTATGACTGCTTTCCATTTTTTTTGAAATATTAGTGCCTCTTTCTTGATGGTGCCTCTACAGTTTTAAGTTGCTATTTGATCAATAGATTTGAGATGCAACGAGGTATAGTGATTTCTTGTAGTTGTGCAATAATGATCTAGGGATTCAATGCGTTTTTTCCATTTTTTGTAATGGTAATTTGATTTTTCTTATTCTTTTTGTGGTGTAGGTTTTTAGGGTTTATAGTTTGATGTTGATGTAAATTGTAGTTATCTTTTATGTTCTGTACAAGGGGGTGGAATTTGGGAAATGGTATAGGTCTTTAGGGTTTAATGTAGATGTGAATTGTAATTGTCTTCCATTTGAGAAACCTTAATGAAGCTTCTTTGTAATTATTTTTCTTTTTTGTTATGATTACATTGCATTTATGTTGTCTCTATAGCTTTATATTGTAATTTGATTAACGGATTTGAGTTGCAACAAGGCATAGTGAGTACTATGGTTATCTAATAATGTTTCTTTGGATTCGATGTATTTTTTCATTTGCAATGGTAATTTGTTTCTTTCTCTGCAAGTTTTAACAACCATTGCAGCAGGAGAACATGCTAAAATTGTAGACTAAGCAAGAGTCCCATGGTTGAACTCTGCCTAGTTATGTTTTTGGATCCATAATACTGAAGTAAAATCAAATACATAAAATGACATTATTTATTAATTTTTATTAACTGCCCAAAATTCAATAGGCACCCATTTCTTCTTAGAATTACAGATCATGGCCTTTGTATATGCTACATAGTTTGCAAACCCAAGGGGTTGACCTGTAGCCTGTCTGGGTCCAACCAACCAGGTCCATTGCAAGGTCCACTTGGGTAAAATCCAGATCAGATTTGGTCTCTTTCTATTTGATAGAATGTAATTACATTATGGAATTCATAAAAATTCTTGGAGTATCCACCCGGTTGTCTCACTATATCACTGGTTTGACACAGCCAGTGGCTGAACAAGTCGAGTATGAATCCGGGGTATGCATGCCTTTTGATTGCATGCTAAGGAAAATCTAGTGTGACTTATTGGAGTTGTTTATGTTGTAATTGAGTTTGTTTTGGGGCCTATGGCATGTATATCTTTTTGAGAATGAACATCTTGTAAATAGCCTACCCAGCGTGCTACATAGAAAATTCAACCTCTTTAATACCAAGTGCAATGAAATATTCTTTGCCAAACTAGTGGAGGACCATAATCAAACAATTCATAAATTATTGAGTTTGAGGGAAATAAATTCTTTGTATCCCTCCCCTAGCAAAGAAAGTCCCCTTATGTAATGCAAGCTCAAGAGGGAAATTCCTGTCTTGCCATGATCAAGTATATTCCTACAAGTGCTGGGCTCCATATCTTGCAATAGGCTTTAAAGACTTTGGAACATCAGTCATATAGACATGTTGCTCATTGGCATGCGTTGAGCTACCCTGTTCGTGACAAGATCCTACTAAACTATTGACCCACTTCTTGTGTCCATGAGAAATAACTTCTTAAGTAGTGACTTTCCCTTAGCACCTGAATCTGTCATTGCACGGCCAACGTCCAATAGAATGCATAATTCTTTGCCTGAGGGTATGGAAGGTCCAGTTGCCCGATAGCATTTACGAGTAAAATGCAGCCACCTTTATTTTTTTTATACGCTTTTGGGTTTCACCATAGATATGGGCCGAGGACAATAAACTATTTTATTGATTGTCTGTTGTAATAAACAGACACCATAGCAAGAGACTCTCATGTCCTCTCCTTCTTGGGGAAGCATAGAGAGGCCCATGGTTAGTTAACTCTGACATGCAAGATGCATCAAACGGAAAGAGTTAGGACATATGGAAGCTTGTTGACCAAATGAAGTCCTGTGGCGATGAAGTTGTAGGTCTTTTATTGCCACTCAAATGCAAGAGTCAACTACTAGAAGTATCAAGACCTATAGTTAAAGGAATATGAGGAGACGTGGAGAGGGTGATTTGCACATATTACAAATTCATCTGGACCCCAAGTCTCTTGACCAGTGCATAATTACAAGGCTTAACCAGCATCTGAGAACTCGGAGCCATAGGTTTAGTATATGGCTGTAGTCTCTCGACCACTGGTCTATGCCATGATAAGGCATAATCATCACTCAAAGCTTGGAGTTGTCTGTTCATCTCAATCTATGTTCTAAGTCTCTCGATTGTGAGTCTATGCCATGATAAGGCTTCATCGCCAGTCAAAGCTTAGAGCTATTTATGCCATTTATAAGGCTTAACCATCATTTTGAGCTTTTAGTTATATGTTCATCTCGATCTGTGAGCTGAGTCTCTGGACCATGGTTCCATGCTATGACAAAGCTTAACCGCTAGTCAAGGCTTAGGGATGCAGGCCCATGGCAGCCTAAGTCTAACTCTTGCCCAACCTAATATGTTCTTATGGGGCTTAGCCCCCTGTCAGGGTTGTATCTACCTCTTTCGTCCATATGATATAGGTTCCTAGGCAGCTGGTCAACGCTAGGATAAGACTTCACTACTGCTCTAGAGCTTAATTTTATGACACCAGTAAGCTATACGGTATCCTTGCAAAACTTTGTGCATAGTGAACAATAGTCCTATATTTCGTATCACATTTGTCCATAAGGTTCTAGTGAAAACCAGGGAAATCATAGGATATCTAGAAGGCTTTGAGCTTCATCCTGAGATAGATAGGTATTCTCTAGAATATTGTAGAAGAAAGATATTTCTAGAATGCCTACAGTCTTCCTGATTGTTGGATCATACAATTGTACAAATCTAGACAATTCATTGTAAAACTAGTTGCCTATATAAGGAGGAAGACCCCTCATTTGGCAGGTACCTCTAAGAGTTGTGAGCATTTGAGCATAAGTGAATACAAGTTCGTTCTGTTTTACTGTGCCTCTCTCTCTGTCTCTCTTATGTGTTGGTTGCCTCTTGTGCTCATGGGCACTCTCTTATGTGGGAAGGCTGACTCGTTCTCAAGAAATGAGTGTACGAGGGCCGCACGGTGGAAACACAGGGTTTCACTAAGGTCATGACAAGTGGTATCACAGTAAGGCTCATAGGGGCTATCACACTCGTGAGGTGAGACAGAGTGGCGCCATGGCATCTGAGGTGACAAACAATGATCAAGCTCATAGCAAAAACAAGAAGGGAAAAAAGAGAACTCCCAAGGCCCCTTGGCTGCGAATGGCTTGCACGGGTGGAGCTCAACATGGCTGATGGGCAAGACCGACTTTTCAAACTAGGTGATAACATAGAGGGCCTCAAGGGTGGGCTTAAATAACTCAAGAATGGGAAGTTCAGTGCCTTAAACGATTGTCAACTTATGAACGGAGGAAAAAAAAAAAAGATAAGTCGATCACAATCTTGTCGAAACTGCAGGATCAAGTTGAAGAGCTGAGAAGCAACTTGGCCCTATGCTTGAAAACTATGGGCAGTGGGAGCCTTGAGGCCAAGGAGACACATAAGGTTTGTAGACCTAACCCTAAAATGTTTAATGGGTCTAGGAATGCCCAAGAGTTGGGCAATTTCTTGCGGAAAATGGAGAAGTACTTTGAGGGCATATCCTTAACTGATGAGAAGGCAAAGGTATATACAAGTATATGTACCTCACAGATACAGCAACACTTTGGCAGTGTAGGCAACATGCCGATGCCGAATAGGGAAGTTGCGTAATCGACACTTAGGGAAGATTTTAAGAGGGAAATTAATAGGCAATTATATCTTGAGAATGTCAAGTACTTGACCAGTAAAGGCATGAAAAAATTGAGGTACACTGGTTCAATTCATGACAGTGTTTCAAAAAGCGGATCGCCCAGTGCTTGGGTGGCCGCCTAAGCCGTTTTAAGGGCCTAGGCGCATCGTCCAGGCCTAGGTGCCCAAAAAAGCGGATATCCCTGGGTGCGCGCCTAGGCACCTCGAACTCGCCTAGACAGTTGCCTAAACCCCCCTAGGAGATTGCTCAGGGCTTGCGCCTTGCACAGGGGCGAAAATGCCCCTCGTTGAGGGTATTTTGGGGTCATGTTTTAATATTAAAGGTGTAAAATTGTGGGTTTTAGGTTCATTATAGCCTATTTTAGATAGAGAAAAACCCCAAAAAACAAAAATTCTATTAGTCCGCCCAGGTATTGGGCATCGACCTAGGCGTTGGGCGGCCTGGACCCCCCAACCGCCTAGGTGCGGCCTAGCCTTTTTGAAACACTGATGTAGACCGATTTATGGTTATGCTTATGGAGCGTGTGTTAATGTGTAGTATACTTGGAATTCTGATGTGCCCAAAATACCTTATTTTATATTTTATACATTATATATACTGTTAGAGACTGTAGAATCTTTTTTGGATTCAACTGGACCGCCTAGGTTTTGGGCGCCCGCTTAGGCGCTGGGCAGCGTAGACCCCCAGGTCGCCTAGGACCCACCTAGTGCTTTTTGAAATACTGATTCATGAGTATATCAAGGAGTTTTTCACCCTTATTTTGAAGATCCAAGCACCAATCAAGGGTCTCATGTTTGTAGAGGTACAAATGAATGGGAAACTAACAAAGGCAATGGTTGACATAAGAGCACTTACAACTTCATCTCTCTTGAAGAGGCTAACTGGTTAGGATGCGAGCTACCAAATAGATGGGATTGCTCAAGCCTGTCAATTAAAATGCTTAACGTATCCATGGTGTGGCATATGGAGTAGAGATTTGTCGAGAGGTAGATCTATCAATGGTGCCCAGGTTGTCCTCGGACTGGACTTTCTTTACTGGGTAAAAGGTGCCTCTACCCTTTGTAAACTCCACCATGTGGGGTGCCTATGTTGCAGTTTGCCAGGACCACTTTTAAGACTATGTCAACCTTACAACTCACCAAGGGGCTAAAGAAAGGAAAGCTGAATTATCTTACTGTACTAGTAGAAACACATAAGGAAGGGGACTCTAAATAAACTGTGGCTAGAGAAGTTGAACAAGTCTTGGATGAACCCAAAGATGTA